GGGTCAGATTCAAACCGGGTGGATTTCACCCAGGTTCCCCGTGCCTCGTGTTTCCTGATGTAATTCAGCAGAGGCACAGCGCTGACAACGCCCAAACCTTTGGGGGCACGGAGCTTGTCTGGGGGCACCTCATGCCCTGTCTTGTGCAGGGGGGATCTGCAGTGCAGGAAAACCTCAGCACCGAGGGCGGTGTGATCACATTAGGCTTTGAGTAGTGTCTGACACCCTTGATGTGCAGCTATGACCCCAAACAGGAGACAAAAAAGAAGGTGAGAAACTTTTTGGGCACAGGGAGACAACGTTGCATTTGAATTGCTTGAAGGTTTGCAAACCTTGTGCCTGCCCCTTCGTGGGCAGTGCTGTAGGGGTGGTGTGAGCCGTGCCTGGGGACCTGGCTTTGGAGCTCTTTGGCATCTGAGAGCTAGGCTCAGGGCAGGGTAGAGGGCAATGAGAAGTGGAAGTTAAACTTGGTCTCAGGGTGACTGCGAATTTTGGAGATGCTGGCATAGGTCATTTTGTTTCTTGGATCCAGGTCATAACAAATAGGGAGTGAGTTTGTGTTTCTAACAGCGCAACTTTTCCTACCGTGGACCACAGTTGATGTGCTTGATGTCTTTCTTAAAGCTTTTTGTCTTGGTGAATAAAATCACAGTCCTCTTAATTGCTAAGCTGTAATTACTGCAATATGATCACAAAAATCTTATATTTCCTGGGGAAAAGACCATTTGCATACCGCTGTTGTAATGTCATCTGCTCCTTCCTCCTCTGGGGGTTCTCCCAAAAGCCTTTTGAATGAGTTTTAAAACAAGCAGACCTCGTTTTGTTTTGTTTTCTTAAGAAAATAGCAGAAGGCAAAATAAAGTGTTTCTGAACCCCGTTCTGTGCTTTTTGTTTGTTCCTTTGCCTTAAAAATGAGATTCTTCAAACGTTTCTCTTTACTGGCTGCAGGCACTGCTTTGCTGCTTAGAGCACAAGAAACCACGCAGAGGAGGGGATTTAGTGCTGCCCTGGAGGTCTTTACTGCTGCGTGGTATTTAATCCTGTCTATATTTATAGGAAGAATTGCATGTAGTTACTGTGGAGCATGGTGCTCCTGTTACCTCATGGATCCCAGGAATAACGTAGCCTGCCTTGGCATGCCTTTTTTTCCAGTGTAACAGGGGCTCTGAGCGTCTTTGCTCCCGTAACTGTTGTTCCTGTGGGATGAAACCTCGGGATCTGCCGTGGGAGTCTGCCAGAGCACGGGGAATTCCTTTTGCAACCTGAAGAAATCACCCTCTGCTTTCTGCACCAAACAACAGGAAGATGCCTTGAGCTGCCAGCAGACATTGGTGCCTGTCAGGGCTGCACAGAGGGTGCCCTGGGAGGAGCAGGTGGCCAGGTAACATCTGGATTAGTAACTACCTGCTGGAATGACATAAAACAGTGAACTCTTCCAGAAGGGCACACAGCCCCGGGCTCTTGTCCCATTAGTGAGACAAGTTTGTCGGGCCTTTGCAAAACATAATTGTTCTCCCCAGCAGCCAGAGAGGCGGAGAAGTGGACAAGGAAGATAATATTTATGCGTTCTTGTATTTAAACAGGCCTGGGGAAATCATATCCCCGAGTCCTCTTTCAGTTCAAGCCACAAATCTTTTCTCTGGATTTACTGGAGAATTTAAGCTTGGCAGCACTTTGCAGTTTTGCTTTCACAGAGCAAAGGGGCCTATTTCAAATAACAATCTTGTTGACACTATAGGAGCTTTTTAATTAATTACTAAGGTTTGGCTCTGTGATAGTCTCTACAAACCTATGGGAGAGGTGAAGGTGATTATGAGGTGCACACCAGTATTAAGTGCTGTATTACTTGTATGTCATGTTTATATTTCAGCTCCTCCTGTTTTGCATGCCTGCACATAATGCCTCAGGCTTGGAAGATGACATTGTTTCAGCCTTTATTTTCATATCTGAGAAGAGAAGAGCAGTGAGAATAAATATGGGGTAGGTCTGGAAAGAGAAGATGAAGGGACTGTCTGGGAAAAGAGGGATGGGTCAGGCTGCTGTTAGGGCTAAATAGGAGGGAAAGGATTCAGACTGGATCCATGAGCACTGACCGAACCAGAGGGCAGCCCACACCTGGCTGCTGATAATGTGGAAGAGAATAATTATTGTTCCGCTGATGGGCGCTGCCTCAGGTCTGCTGCTCTTCTGACCTCACGGGCACGATCTCTGTGCTGTATCGCAGTTGTTGATGTAAGGCAGAGCCAAACTTACGTCCCTAGCTGGGTGATATTTGGACCTACGTGGACAGAAGTGTTACCAAGCAGGCTGCTTTTAGTACTGAAGTCCTGTAGGAAACAGTTGCTCCAGAAAAAAAGAGCTGCCTTGGGCTTCTGCAAATCTGCTGCCCTGACACGGTGTGTGAGGACAGAGCCAGAACCAGGAGGAGGAAATCAGAGCTTTAGTCGGGTGAGGGTAAATGGTATCTCCTCTTTCTCATTCAGCTGAGTTTCTGTGTTGAAACTTCTTGTTCTCGACTTCCTGAGGGTTGTCTGGTAAAGAGAGGGGGACCTGAGTTTAAGTTTGTCTTTCTCGGTTGCTTTTATGCACGGACACCACCGGAAGGCCAGCTTGAAACCAGAACGAAACCTGTAAGTGTGAGAGAAGAAATTCAGTGGGGAAATGATCTTTTTAATTGCACAGAGAATGAGCAAACTCGTGACTTGGCTCTACCTGTGGATGACCACGGAGATAAAAGAATTTCTATTGCAATCAAAGCAGTGAGGTGAAGAGCTAAATGTATAAAACCACAGAGGGAGGTTCAATAGGAGTTTATGATCAGATTTCCATATATTTTAAGTAAATATATAAGATCAGTGAAATGGCAGGCTGCCTGATGTGCTCAGTGGATGATGCTGAGCATGCTGGTAACAGCATTTGAGAGACACAGAGCACTGAGGAAAAAACCTGTTTTTACCCACTGGAAGCTTTTTTTAAAAAACATGAATAATTAAATGAGGAAGCTCTCTGCTTTCTGAGAGAGGAGGGAGAGGGCGTGTCCGGGTGTTCCATGTTAAATACAGGTTGGCTAGATGGGCTGCAAAACTGTCTTCTTTTGCAAGCTTACAGGCTCGAAACAAGCCTCTCAGCGTCCCTCTGGAGCTGAGCATTTGGTCACCCTGGAACTCCCTGCGTGCAGCCAGGCTGAAGGGAGAGGCAGGCTATGGGTGCAGGATTTGGCACGGAGATGCACGGGCAGCTCCCCCGCTCTGCATCCCGACACACCAGCACAGAGCAAGAGGGACATCTCTTGGCACGACGGGGTTGTGCTGTCCCAGCTGCTGCCCCGTGGGGACTCCCTCGTCCACGCCCGGATGGGACCTGCAACAGAACACCCCTGGGATGCTCCTGCTTCCCCGGGAGTAGGGGGGGCTCAGGGCTGTGCTGGGGGGGTTGGCCTGGGAGGAGCAGGTGGCTGAGCCAGCCCAGCATTAGCTCAGCAGAGGCACTGCAGGGATTACAGACGCCTCCCTTGGAAGTAGGACGGTCTGCCTGTGGAACTGGGTTGCAAATGTGGCTGCGCTGATTTTACGTGTGATTTGCCTGCATTTTATCCCGAGGCAGAAAATCTTGAGGGCTCAGTTAAAATCTCACTCAGAGTGTGCCCCGTGTCACATTATCAGCGAAGTGTAAAATAAGTTGTTCGCTCGGGGTATGGACTGCAGTTGAAAATCAGAGCTGTTCTCACCTCCAGAGCTTTATGTTTTTTCAGGCTGAGGTTTTTGTTTTCTCTTTGCACACATACGAGCACGCTACTCACCTCTGGTTAAGGCAGCAGTATATGATGGGGTTGTACATGGAAGAGCTCATGGCAAGGAGGAAGACTGCGAGATACACCTGCTGAATGTACTTCTGCTGGTAGATGTCTTCCTTAAAGCTCCCCAGGATGAAGTAGATGTGATAGGGCAGCCAGCAGACAGCAAAAATGATCACCACTACCACCATGGTCTTCACAAACTAGGAAAACAAAACCAGGTGGGTTATTCCGGGTTGATTGTCACTCGGGGTGATTGTCTGAGCTTTCTGGGGCAATGGGAAGTGCTGCTTTTGTTTTGGGTCTGGTTTGCCCTCACGAAGTGCAACGTGTGGAATGCTGTGGCAAAGAAACCAGCCCTGGTGTCTGGAAGCTGGGAACAGGGAGGGAGTTAGGGCCAATGTTTCCTGGTGCACCAGGTGGAGTCCCTGCAGAGGAATTGCTTGCAGCTCTGACGGAGAGATGTGCGGGGAAATGAGAACACTGCCGTTGTGCTGAAACCTCTGCACCCTGTCAGGAGTTTTACCCTGGTTTATCCTGCAAAACGTGGGCTCACTGGGCACCAGGCCTTTGTTCCTTGAAGGCTAGCTGGTGCACGTAATCACCATTTTTTTCATACTTGCCAGGGGATGCTCTTTACCCCCCGGCCCAAAATATTTTGTTAACTTCTCGTGCCAAATCCCACAAGATTTTTGTACCACCCGCAAGCTCCGTTTTGGAACTGGAGCCAGCAGGGCCGGTGTGCAGAGGGGAATTACTTTTAAGTGTCACTTCTGACCTTTTTTTTGGCGTTGAGTTGGTGTTCGTAGCGGACTCTGTGGAGGTGGTTGCCTGGAACTGCGCCGCTCCACAGAGTGATCCCTATAACGCCGTATGCAACAAACATCACCAGTAAAGGCAGCAAATAAATCAGCACGATCACGGCAATGTGGTACCTGAAAGAGAAGAACAAGCGGGGGTTTCACAGTCGGAATGGCTCTCGGAGGGCTCTTTCAGAAATTGTCTTTTGGACGTGCGTGGCTGGCTCCCATCAGCTCCAGCCACAAAGCAGAAATTTCGACTACAAACGTTGTTACAGAGCCTTCTGTAAACAGCAAAACCTCACCTCTCCTGGGGTGTGATGAGGAGTCCTTGGGCTGGATTCATTGCTCTTTCAAGACAGAGTAACATAACATATCTTTTATCAGAGGGTGACGGTCCGTGGTCACCTGCACTGATCTTTGCTATCCCACTGCATTCAGGAGGGAGGGGTGGCTGAGACTCACGGCTGTAAAACTACCAGCCTTTAAATCACAGGAATAGAAGAGGGATAGTCCAAAAATTATACAGTAACTTGATGAATGCAACAGTGGCAAGAGTGGAAAAAACCTGAATCGGGGACAGCAAAAGGCTGCTGACAGTGTGCACAAAGATGCAGAGAGTGGGGAAGGAATGTTGCCTGTTTTTGTGTCTAGCTGGCTGTTTCTATTTCTAAGTGTGTGTGTTAATTAGCATTAACCAGGCTAATGGTTACTGCTCCAGCTGAAAGCACTGACATCTCCTATTTTACCTAAGCCCTTCCCAGCTTTCCATGTTACCCCACAAACTTCTGCTGGTTCCCTCGTGCTGGGGGGTTGATTATTTTAAGCAAGCACCATTTATGGGAAGGGAACAACCTGCTCACTCAGCTACAGCAGCTGTCAAATTAACATAAACAGTGTGAAAACTGGGATTAGGCAGGAGGGCTCTGGCACACGCTGCTGGCAGTGACCCCAAAAGGCTGGGTGGGTGCAAATGGTTTTTCTCAGTATGACAAGGCTCTGGGGTTACTCCCAAATCATCTGCTTTGAGAGTGCTGGCAAAATGAGTGGTGGGGCCCTCAGTGGTGTCACCAGAAAAAAAAATCCTCTGTGGTTAAGATTCTTTATTCTGGTTAAACTTCTACGGATTCATTCCCTTCATATCCAGTATTTCTCAGGGGGGACTGGCAGTCACAGTGCATTCATTGTTTAGGGTGGGTTTTTTTACTTGTTTCTCATCATAATTATAAACATTTTTCCCGCAGAAAAGGATTTTCCTTTGTTCTGAAATCTAGGAATTCTGAAGGCTGGTTTTACTCAATTGCAAAGGATTCAGAGGACCCACAGTCAAGAGCAGAACCCATTTCTCCATTTTTTTGGGTTTTCTTTGAGTTTCTTAGTATTTCTGTCCCTCATTACTTAGACTAGCACATGCATGGTTGCACATGGCTTTTTCTCCGTGGTCTGTTGCCGGCACCTGTCCCAGCAAATCCATCACTCTACGATTTCTGGGGAGCGGTGCTTCCAACTTCCTTTCTAGGAGAGGTGCTGACACCTACAGATCTGAGGCTGTTCAGGGGGGAGTGAGTTAGTGAACGATGTATTGTGGTCAGGAGCTGCTGCTCTTCAGCTGGAGACCCCAGAAAGAACCTGGTGTGAAAACCTGTTAGTTTGGTAATAACTGACCTCAGGAGGCATCCAGCTGTCTGCCAGAGATTTGGGCTGAGCAAGGAAAAACATGCATGGAGCTGGGCAAAAGCATTCAGAGTGCAGAGTGAACTCAGGGAGTGTAGCCCTTGGTTTTGATTTGAAAAATGGTTTCCACTTTATTAATCGCTTTGTTCCTTTTCCGCAGCTCTTCCATTACTACTTTGCATAAATACGTTCTGCTTGATAAATTTCTCAAACTGCTCTGTGTATCACATGCTTTGAATAACGAGTAATCACGGCAGATCCCCTGCATGTGGGGTATGGCTTGCTTCATCTGTTTGAACAATCTTGTGTTAAAGCAGGAGGAAATCTCTGTGAGGCTTAGGAACTTCTGGGAGCACAGATGAATCAGGCTAAAAAACCTCAGGATGTTTGAAACATGCTCCTCTCAGGATTTGTTTTCCTTTTCTCCTCCACAAAGAGCAGCGTAATTTTTAACTAACTGGCATGGCTTCTCAGCATTAAAGATACCCAGTTTCCTCCTGCCCCAGGGGGGAAGAAAATCCAGAATTTTCGTGACCAGCATTTACTGCTCGTTTTGAGGCTTTTCGCACCGGCTTCTCTTAAATCCACCAAACTCTGTATTTAGGGTTTCTAGACCTTATAACCCGTTTTCAAAGCAGGGCAGGATGGCACGTGGCCCTTCTTTATCCTGAACCATGATCACCTGGGAGCTTTTTTCCACAGCTGGCTTCAACTGAGCGTAGATTGGCTGCCCAGCCCCTCTATTCCCCTGCCCTCTCTCCCAGCACTCCCCTGAGATGGAATTCATTTCCTTAGTGAACTTCTGCCCGAATTTGGGGGGGTTTATGGTTTTTCTTACGTCAGCTGGTGCTTGGCTCCGACGTCGTCAGGCCAGACCACGATGCACTTCGTGGCTCCGTTGTCCGTCAGGATCTCGGCGTAGAAGCACTGCGGGAAGGCCAGCCCAAATGCCACCAGCCAGATTATCCCAATGATGACCCTGGTGCTCCCAGCAGAGAGCCTGGGCTTGAAGGGGTGAATTATGGCCACGTACCTGCAAGAAACACAGGTAAGGCTTTTATAGTTACCTTGGTAATCTACGCAGCACGTGGGGCAAGTGTAAAAACCCAGCGGGACTGTGTAGTGGGCTTTATTAATACAGACATTTTGGTAGGTTCCAGGCCATAAATCATGGAACTGGGTCCTTTCTGAAGAGAATGACTGCAAGGTCTTAGGGCAGGATGTATTAAACCCATGTGGGTGGATGCTTCTGGTTTGGGGAGGAAGCAGCCATCTTATGTCTTCTGCATGTGGTCTTTGCAAATATTTCCCTTATGGAATTTTTCGTAGAATCCCAGGATAGTTTGGGTTGGAAGGGACCTTAATGATTACCTAGTTCCAACCCCCTGCCGTGGTTAGGGACACCTGAGTGGGCTCCAAGCCCTGTCCAACCTGGCCTTGAACACTTCCAGGGATGAGGCAGCCCCAGCTTCTCTGGGGCAACCTGTGCCAGGCCCTCACTACCCTAACAGGGGGAGAATTTTTCCTAATGTCCAATCTAACCCTGTCCTCTGTGTGTCAGTATGAAGCCATTTCCACTCGTCCTGTCATGCAAGGCCCTTGTAAAAAGTATTCTCTCTTTCTTTTTTCCCTTCTTAAATTAATTTTTCAAATTCTTTCCCCAAAAAACCACAGCCAAGTATGCTGTTTCCTCCTAAGCATGCCGATCTCTGATGCCTCCTATTATCACAAGAGCAGACTGGGGTCTTGAGTATCCTCTACCCTGAATTTCTCCCCTCTGATTTTTAGCTGTGGAAAACTTGTGTTGTTCCACCTCTGTCTGTAAATGCTGGAGCACTTGTGCTTGCAGTGGAAGGGAAGTGCTGACCTCTCCTTCCCACACCTGCTCAGAGCCCTCACAGCACTTCTGACTCTTGGATTACTCATGAGCCCCGGGGCACTCTCTGGTTTTAAGTTCCCTGTGTGGAAACAGACGGTGTCGGTGTCGTAACAAGTACATAATCAATTATGCATTTCTTGTCATGCTTCCCCTGTGCTTTGTCATGGTTGTTACAGAGGCAAAACAGAGTGGCAAATGCCTATTGCCTCCGAGTTTTCATAGCAAAAATCATGGCAAATTGAGCTGTCCCTTGGCCAGGCCGGTGGGAGGGAGCTCTGCAGGACGGGGCTGCATGGAAGCAGAGCCTTATTTAGCTATAAAATTTTCATGTCACCTCGCTTTTCATTAGCTTGTTGTAAGCAGTGTTACACAGTGCTCGAGTCTGGTCAGGGAGGAATCCAGCGGTGAATATTCTCCAGGGTATTTGCCCACAGAAGTGCCTGAAACGATTATCTGTGGCTCTCAGTGAATGGCAAGCCCTGGGAATAGATGATGCCAGTCCCTGTGCTGTCACAGCCCACGTCAGAGCGTTACAGGGCTGCTGGGTGGAGGCTTTGCACTCTGCCAGGGGTGAGCTGGGGTTTTAGGCGAGCTGAAGTTGGGAGATTTACCAAACCTGCTGAGATCTGCTGGCTGCTCTTGCTGTGTGGCAGCACTGCCTTTGCCCCCCTGCCGCTCACGCTCCCTGTGCTCTCTCTCTCCATGCCCTGCTCCGTGTGACATCCCGGGATGCTGGGACCACAGCCCTGGCACCCTTTCTCTGGCCCTCATCCCATATAGACAAACCACCATTTTGGGCACGCTTGTGCACTTTACAGACAGGTCCTAGGAGCCTTTGCTAACTGGGAAAATGATAAACTGCATTTGTGCCTGCAGCACTGCAGGGGAAAGAGCTGCTCCGGGGCACAGAGCAGCTTGGAATGGGGAAACAGGGTGATCCTAAACCCAGTATCACCGGCGACTTTTCCACAGAGACCAAGATGACCTAGAGCTGTCACTCCTTAGCCTCCTTCCTTACAACAAACTGCTTCAAAAGACATTGTTTTTATCGAAGTTAAACAGCGGAGGCTGAGTGGGCAAGTTCTCACAACAATAAATGGAAGTGGCGAGTTTCCAGGGGACTATTTTCAGGGTCTATTTTAAGGCTAAAGCAAAGAACAGCTAAATATGGTTTGCAGCGAGGTGCCAAGTTTTCTTCCTGGTCCATGCCACGTGACTGAAGAGATTTTGGCTGTATAGGTGCTTTCCCCCCAAACCCCCAAGGAACAAGAGCAGGGAGGCAGGAAGACAGGTTGAAATGGCTTTTTAAAAACAGTTATTCTTTGGCAGACCGGATGTATAAAAAATCAGCAGTTACCAACGACCCTTAATTTAAAGCCAGGAGCAGCACAAGTGTGTTTGAGTCTCAAAGTGAGTTGCCACTGATTCCAAATAGGGATTTGCTTTCACCTGGACAGCTGCAGACTGACAAACACGTCACTCATCCCCATCCCTGCGCTTGCGAGCGCTCCTTCCAGCGGCCGCTGTCCTGTCCCGTGCCGTGTCCCCAGCTCCGGCGCTGGGGTTTCGGCTGGAATTGCACAAGGGGGAAAGCCCTCGTTCCTCTCCTAGTTTGTTTATCTGGTGAGATACGTGTATTGATTTTTTTTCCCCCCGAGGCTGCGTGTGCCGGCGTGAACGAGCTGCGAGCGGGGCGGGACAGCTTCTTGGATGGCTCCGCAGGGACACTGGCTGCCCTCCCGAGGGAGCTGGATAAGGAACAGAGGAAGCCTGAAGGAAACTGCAGAGTCAACAGCAGGGCTTGGTAAAGGACTGCCAGCGTTTCTGGGTGCTGGGTTTGGCTGTCCCAGGGAAGACCTTCTACCTTGGGGTTGTGGCAGGGACACAGGATGGAAAAGGCAGAGGTATTCCTGGCGCCAGGCAGAGAGTGGAAGTAACAGAGGGAAGACAGGAAGGATGGAAGGAAGGAGGGCAGAAAGCCTAGAAGGGAGCTTAACCCCCTCTACTTCTCGTACACATCATCACCTGTAAGAGAGGACATTCCCACGAACTTTTGGCCACTTTCTATTAAAAAGAAAAGCAGCTCCATGTTATTTAACAATGAGCTGTAAACACAGTCAGACTCCACAAATTTAAGCTCAAGTAAAAGTGACTTGGCAGACAGAAGAGAATATTATGAAAGTACCAAATTACCCCAGAAGTCAAACAAAATCGCTGTTATTACTTCCCTCCCTCTTGGAATAAGTCATGCTAGTGAACTATGGGAGCAGACTCTGCCATTTCTGATCTAATTCCCATTATTTGTGGTGTTTTGCTGGACTCACAGCAGGATTAAGGATGCTAACACTTTCAGCATCCCACGGCACATTCTCATTTCTCTGGAAATATCCTTCTGATGGTTTAAAAAAAACAAACAACATAAAAAAAAAAAAACTAAAACCCACAGAAAAGTTTGCAGGATGACTGGGAAACAATTTATGGTCAGTAACGTGGGAACAACAAAATACCAGCCACTTCCACTAGTTACAGATTTTGGTGTGATTCAGGCCAGGGATAAAACAGAAGATCACGTCATAATTAGCATCAAACCCCATAGTTTGGCATTTCTCCCACTTTGCTGATAAGGCCCCTGACATGGTATGTGGGGGCAAATTGCACAGAGTATTGCAGTGATATTTTTTTTTTTATGATTTACAGGGGATTTTTTGAACCTTATCTTCTCCATTCTCCTCTTACCTCTCTGCAGCCACGGCTGTCATGGAGTAAATGCTCACAAACATCGCAGTGATGGGGAACCAGTTCTGGAACCTGCAGAATTCCTCGCCAAAATACCAGACGTTGTGACTGGCGTAAATAAAATTGAAGACGGTGTTGAAAGCAGACATCAGCAGGTCCGAAAGGGCCAGGTTCACGATGAAGTAGTTGGTAGCAGTCCTCATCCTCCTGTGTGCAAGGATGATCCAGATGATGGTGGCGTTGCCAGCGATGGATGTGACGACGATGAAGGAATAGGTGATAGCCCACAGAGCGATTCTCCACCCTGGCTGGGTGAACTGGGTCACCCACGTCCGGTTGCCGCTGTCCTCGAGGGAGTCAGCCTGGGAAACGTTGCTGGCATTAAAAACAGGCAACATGCCCGTGGTTTTCTACTTCACGTAAGTGTAAAGGAAAATCTTCTGGCGTTTGCTCATTTTCTTGCAGTAGATGCTGGTGGTATGAATTTCTGTGCATGCAGCTGGGGGCTGTTGAAAAGACACGGGGCTGAGGTGTCTCGTCCTCTCATCCTGTTTTCCAAGGGGTGCAATGCAGTTCCAGGAGGAGATGAGCGATGCCGAGGGCGTCCTCCTCCTTCCCTGGCATTTCAACCTCCACTTGAAGAGCAAAACCTAACAAACAACTCTCTCCCTTAAGTTTCTTTTTCCTCTGAAGAGGAAGAAAAAAGATGGAGGGAAGGAAAATGTTTTTTTTCCAGGTCAGTGACAAGCCGGTGTCTTCCTTTAGATTACTTTTAGGGTCAAGAAAATATAAATAGAAGTATCAAGCCACAAAACACTTCAATCCAAGTGGAAATTCGTTTCCAGGGCAGGGATTTTCCCAAAGAACCAGGTGTCTGAATCCTCTGCAGCGGAACTGAGGACATTTGCTTCTCTTTCTCTGTGTAACTGCTGAACGCGAGGCAGGAGTCACACTGGGATAAAATCTCTCCAGGTTTTAAGGGGACTTTGAAAGGAGGTGGAGTCTCTTCTGGGGAAAAACTAAACAACCAATTTGACATCAAATGAAATGTGGCAAAGTGGTACTTGAAGTTTCCCCCCACAGGCACTTGTGTTTTTAATAACCTCTGAAATGGTCACGCTGCTGTATCAGGATTTTACAGGCATAAGTGCAAAGGTAAACTTCGCCAGATTTACCAGCCCTGCAATCCTTGAGTTTCCAGGACCCTCCCTGGTTTTGCCACGAGCTCTCACAGCAAGAGAGAAACTGCATTTCATGCAATTCAGCAAGGCCCTTCTTTTTAGATGGCTGCATCCCCTTTCCCAGGGCGTGCTCTAGAAACGTAGTGCCCTCACACCAGCAGAAGTTTCGGGTCCTCACAGGGAAGAGGAACCTCTGACTCTGCTGGGAGCGCAGGTTCTTGCTCGCTGCCAGCTCTTAAGTTCAGAGCAGAAACATAAACAACAAACTGAGGCTGAGATTTCCAAGAGTACTTGGCACTGGCTCGTGCCTGCTCTCCTGGAAGCTGAAAGCGCTTCAGGTACGAAAACCTTTCTTCAGGATTCAGAAAGCATGCAGGGTGCTGGGAGGGCAGTAGTTTGCCAGGTCCTGGAGCTGCAGCTTGTGCCAGGCTCTCCTGTGACAGGGCAGTATTTATCCATTCAGGATCCTCTCAACCAGCTCAGCCTGGACTCTTTCCTTCCTTAATTTCTGGAGGCAGCCTTGAGATAACCCATCCCCTAACCCCTGCAACTCTTTAAAGCAGATACGGTATTACCCAAGTGTTGTTTTGTAAGAAATCAGCACCTGCAGTACTACATATAATATCTCCTTCTCTTCACAATAGACTTCCCTGCAGGCAATCCCACTCACTTCCCTACCCAGGAACTGCAAAAACACACTTGTCCATATCTTCCAGCATGCCTTGCAAAGCTGTTCCAGGCTCTTCTTCAAAGTCTTCCGCTGACACCTCATTAAGCAGCTTATGGACCTTTCACTTTCTGTACACAGTCTCCAGGAGGGCTGTTCCTGATTTGCAATGTGAATTCAACAGCTAATAGTGTTCTTCAGACTTTTTCTTTTCCTTCACCTCTCAAATCTCTGCAAATTCCAAGGAGAACCTGAGCAAAACCCCCTCTATGTTTAGCTGGGAGCGCAGCTTAAGTGCTTTATCAGTCATGGAAAGCAAAGCGTAAGCAAACACTTGGAAAAAGGACTGTACTTAATGACCTTCCAATGGTGAAACCATAACCTCTCTTGGCTGACTTTGAAGACGGTCAGGGTTGCCCAGGTTTCCTGGGAACCTTCTTCTGAACCATCTGCCCTGGTTCCTGATCTGTTGCTCGGGTGATAATCGGAGAGCAGTCACCCTTTGGTCAATACTTCATTGTACAAGTCAGGAGGGATTTGCTTTCCTTTATCCACACCCACATCTTTTATTCCTTTGCTGGTTGTGCATTGACAAGGTTATCATCCTGGAGCCTTGCCAGTGGCTTAGTGTGTGCTGTCAACCTTTTGACTTGAAAACTGGAGTGATTTCTGAGAAAGGTGGGCTCCGAATTCTTCAGGGAAGTCACATTTTGCCTGGGGTAAAACCCATCTCTCCAATTATTTTGGAGTTGTACCAGAGAAGGGGACTATCTGGGAGAAGGGTTTTTGGGTTTGGCTGTTTTCACTGTTGTTTTTATTATGGGCAGGATTGTTCAAGGCCAAATGTTCCTGTGCTGAGTCACTGATCCCAGGTCTGAGCAAAGGGTGAGAGATGCAAACAAAAGATGCAGGTTTGCAAGGTCAGGAAAGGTGATTGAGGAATGTTTTGTGTTTTGGAAACATAATACAAGGTAATACAGGCAGTAGAGGGTTTAATTGTATTGCAAGTTGGACTCTGCTTTGAGAGGAAGAACCTTTGTCCAAGAAACAGGTTGAGAACAAGACCATGAGCATCCACCTTGGGTGGGGGAAAGTGCAGCTGGCCTGCAGCTTTATCAGCCAGGCACGGGCTGGAAGGAAGCAGAAAAGTTCCTCTTGGTAGCTCTGAAAAGCTTTGGGTCTTTCTGACACGCTTTGATGCAGGGCTGTGGGTTCACTTCCTCTTCTGCAGCGCTCCTAATTCCCTGTGTCAAATGTTCTGCAGTCCGTGGCTTTTGATGACTGTCCTTGGGACAACCCAGGTAGGGTAGCCCTGAAGATGAGTGAGGAAATGTGGAAGTTACTGATCCTTAACATGAACAAACCCATCACTAGCTGAGCTATGGGATGGTCCCAGGAGCAGGTGCTGTAACGCAGGATCTGCCTCAATGCTGGCAGAGATGCCAGACTCCTTGTTGGAAAACTGCTGCTCTGTGCTGCCTTGGGCTGAGGGGGAGAGAACACAACCAAGAAGGACCCTCAGCACCACAGGCAGCTCATAACATCTTACTTTTAACCACTGTTTGCTGCTGAACTGTACTAACTGTGCCCAGAAATCTTGTCATTTCAAGGTACAAAGTCTGGGATTTAGGCAAAGAAAGAGGTTAGTCAACTATTTTCATACAGTTTCATAACAGGAACCTGTTTTGATGCACTGGCTCCGTTCAGAGTGAAAACAACAGGAAAACGGACACTCCTTTTAATGGGCTTCCCCATCCAGCTGGACGTGCCCTGAAATTTTACTTGCAGAAATCAGCACAAATGCCAAGGCAAGGCATTAAGAAAGTCACACCAAAACTATTAATTTAATTGAATACTCAAACAAGGAAGATGTCTCAAGTGACAGGAACATGTTTGGATGGGGATGACACCCATGAGACGTGAAGAACCTGTGGCAGACTCTAATTCCCAGCACTTACACGGTATGTGATGTTATTTCCAGGCTGCACACCACTGGTAAGTGTCAGGGATATTTGCAAATCTGTCTGAAAATTGAAGCTGTGACATTTTAGAGGACAAATGCTCTGGGGCATTGTATTATTGTCAGAAACGTTAGAGGTGAAGAGCTACCGGATGGGTCCTGGGCTGGATTATTTGTTTCCCAGAAGCAGAATGTAGCACTGCATGGAAAAGCCATGGTGCTTTTTACAACAGAGTTTTCCAGGGATATTTTTTAGCCTTTATAAACAAGGTTCTGGCATATTGTATGACCTAACGGAATGCCATGTCACTGACTGCTTACAGTTTTACGCACACAGCTCGGGGGTTTTCCAGTCTCTTTCCTAGGTAACTTAAGGACAAATGCTGCCCCACTTCATCTCCTCTGACACCAGACGCTGATTTTCAACGCCATCTGTCCCTGCTCCGGGCCAGGACGCAACAAGCAACTCTGTGACAGTTGTCTGCCACTTTGAATGAGACTTTTTTTTTCCCCCGGGGGGAAAATAGCCCTTTGTGGGACAGGAGTGCGGCGCTGCGGGCTTGAAAGGGCTTATTTCATCTCGGAGGCACGAACGGCGCTCTTGTCGCTCACGATCGCCGTGTCAGACCCAGCGCTGCCGCAGCAGCGGGACGTGGATAAACCTCGGCGCGGGCAGAAAGCGTGGCCAGTGCAAAACGCCCACTAATTTTTTTTGTTTGCTGTTATTTGCAGGACGCGCTGGAGACAATCGCGTGGGTCTTAACAACGAAAGGTAAATGCCCCCTGTATTGCTCCACCGTGCCGGTGTGGCGCCTAGGGATCGTGCTTTGCCGTGTTTAGGGATGCTCGACCCAAAATCCCGGCAGCAGGAGCTTCCCCCCCCACCGAAGTGTTTTTTGTCCGGGCTGTTTCAGTGGCCACCGCGGAGGTTTTTGGGGAGCGCGCGTGGCTCGGGCAGCGCCGGAGCAGCCGGATCTGCTTTTCCTGCCGCCTCTTCGAGTGTCCCCGCCGGTCCCGCTCCGGAAGCGGCGGCGCCCCCGGGCCCGCCCCGCTCCAGCCGGGAAGGGGCGGGAGCGGCGGCAGGTGCCGCGGGCCGGCAGGGAGGGAGGGAGGGAGGGAGGATGGCGGCGGGGGACCCGGAGCAAGCGCGGTACTGCGGGCGGCTCTCCTACATCTGCCTCAAGCTCAGCCTCATCATCTACTCCACCTTCTTCTGGGTGAGCGGCGGGCGTGGCGGGGCTGTGCGGGGGGCTCGGCTCGGAGCGGGGAGCCCCGCACCGCGGTCCCGCGTCCCCCCCCCCTCCCCTTCCTCCGGGGACGGAGCGGGGTCCCCCCTGCGCCAGGCCCTGGGCTTTGGCAATCGGTGGGTGTTTCCGCGGCTGAGGTGGCGGGTGTCACACCCGTGGCGGCGCCCCGACCTTCCCTAGGGACTGACAAACTGGTTTTGGCGGATGGGGAGCCGCGGGAGTTGGGAAGTCGGGCAGGTTAAATAAATCGTCCGTGCGCGTATTGAGACGCGGCTCTTTCCTCCGGGGGAGGTGGGCAAATAGAGCCTTTGCCCTACAACGTCACTCACCCGTGTATGGGATAAGCCCTCTCCCGAGCCTCGGCAGGGTGAGGCTGCGACGCTGTGGAATTACAGGTGTGTGGCACTTGCTGTCCTCGTCCAGGTGCTGGATAAAGCCACTAAGTCGCAGGGGCCGGGCTACGACCACTGACTTCTGACATGTGGCAAATCCACCCAGACCAGGCACCCCCCGGGGCTGGAAGGAGCCCTTGGGGCTCTTTTTAAGTACTCTTTGTAAGCACCATGATTTTAAAAGGTGCCTTTTCAGGCTCTGGGATCCTGAGGTGTTGCCGGTGATGTCCGAGACGCTCAGGCGGGGTTTCTTTCTGGCTTTTTCTGTTTAAGCGCTGCTTGGGCTCTTGTGTGGCCGGCCTGTTTCTGTCTGACACGGTGGTTGCCAAGTGGGATCATAAAGCTTTTAGTGCGCTGCGTGGGAGGAGACCTTTAGATCCACCAGGTCTGATAGTGGGTGTCTGATTAAAGATACGACTTAATGAAAAAAAAAAAAAAAAAAAGGGATTGAAACACAAAGCGTTCGCGTACAATTCAGGCTTTTTTGGGGATCTTGAATATCTCATCTTTTGTCTGTCTTAGCAGACAAGCCAACCCTCGGGTTTAGGCTGCTGACGCTTCCCTGCGTTCCTCCACAGCGGCTGTTCCGCAGGTGCGAGTTTCGGGAGAGAGGAATTCGGTGTGTTATCTTCCCACCCCTCCGTTCCTGCAGCGAGTCCTCCGCGGAGGGCCGAGCTCCTCGTTGTCTGCTCCTCCTTTTCCATGGGCACCGAGGGCCCTGCGTGGTGGTGGGATGCGAACATTCCGTCTGGGGGCAGAGAAAGGACCCTTCTTGAAGCGATTCCCGGAGCATCCGCGGAGGACAAAGCCCCTTTCAGGCAGCCCGAGGATTTTTATTTACTCTTTGTGGTTGCTCGCTGTGGATTTTCAATGCTCTGCCCTTGTTTATATCCCAAGAGCTTCCCTTTGTCGGCTGCTCCCGGGGAGATGGTTTGCTCCGGGAGGGAAGAGGGGGAGGGATGGGGGCTGCGGGAGGGGAAAGGAAGGATGGGAACGCTGGCCTTTAGCTCGGGGGAAGGAAGGCTGGCGCTGGGCATCATCCCGAACACACCCCGCATTGTGCGAGGGGCAGCCCGTGGGCTCCGCTCGCGAAATTCCCTTTCATTCCGGCTTAGCGAGGCAGATCTCATCAGCTGTAAATGCCGCTCGCCTGGTTCTCTTTTCAGCTGTGTTATTCTTGCTGAGTTTGGGTGTTTGTTGGGGTTTTTTTGTTTGGTTGGTTTGTTTTTTGGGTTTGTTTTTAGTGTTTTTTTTTGTTTTTTTTTTTTTTAATTGGTGTAAGTGGAAGTAAAGTTTGGCTGTGGAGTATTGGCTTGCTTAAATCCCGGCGGTTTGTGATGTTCTGTGGCTGTCTGGGGTTTTGACCTGCCGGATGCTGAGTTCATTCAATTCCCTCCCTGCTGTAGCTGTTTCTCTGCTTCATTACGAGCGATGAACGCCCAGACTCGAATCCCCAGGATGGCTTTAAACCACCAGGAACTAAATAATCAGCCTTATCCTAGGCAGAGAGGAAATTAAAGCATCACTGGGAGTGTCAGAGGGGTTGTTTGCTGCAGGCCCTGTATCTTCACATGGGTCTTACCCAGCACTTTTTTAAAAACTAGTTGTGCCAGTAACTTTTCCAGGTAACTCTTCTGCTGGTGAATGTAGCTGTAACGTAATTTTTCTCGCCCAGCTGAAGCAAAATCCAGCAATTTAAACAGAAGGTGCTGTTGTGTTGAGCGGCTGCTTTATTTAAGTACTGTAAATACAGGGTTAAACCCTCTGCTTATAAATAAATAAATGCTTTTGCTTTCTCTTGGGAAAGCAGCTTCTGTGCATGCAAAAGCCCCAGAGAAATCCCCTGGTATTTGCTGGTGGATGCTCATCAAATGTGAGCCAAGGCCAGTTAATTTTTTCCTGTGTCCACAGCTGGAATTGCCAAACGGGAAGCTGTTAGGAAGGATGCAGGATGTAAACAACCCCTATATCAGTGGGTTCCCTACATAAGAGTAGGAGGGGGTGTGAGCAAAAGGGCAAGTGAATCTGAAATTCCGATAATCCCCTTCAAGCTTTAATAGCTATGGTTTATGTCCAATGTTTGGAACTTTTTTTACTTTTCTAGGCAAGAGTTAGTGTTGCTTTTGTTAATGGTATTTCAGCGTTTGCAGGAGAGTCTGGTTTGGGGGTTTAAAAACTAATTTTAAAAAAATTAACAATAATAATAATAATAGAACTCCTGAGTCATGTGTACAAGTACAATCCCCAATTTTATAGGCTGTGTTAGGTTTGTATGGTGCTGAGACTCCATCCTCAGCTGTTAGAGCTGCATTTAAAAATTTCTAACTGATTTGTTTATTTTGTCATCTGCTTGAAAAGAAATCAATAATTTATTACCCAAATCTCCAGTCTTTTTAAAGAATAAAGCTGGCACTGCAAACGGACCATCTGGTAATAATAATAATAAAAAAAAACAATTACAGTTTTACAGTAGAAGCATATCAGTGATAAATTTTTTTATCTGTTATCTGCCCAGAGTGTTTTCTCTTCTGTCATCACTACAGCACAATTTCTGCATTTGTCAGAGGAGGAGTCACTCTCAATTTGCTCCCATCAAATTTTAAGTTGCTTTTTAAATAGCTTCAGTGTATTTATTTTTGTGGGTGAGCCCTTCTGAGAATTGGCTTTTTAAATGACAACTTGGTGGCATTCCCCACATATTGTCCTTTGGGGATATTACTCATTCCCCTAGAAAGTCGAGGATTTCCAGTATGTTGTTAATTATTTCAAAATATCTCATAGTTAAAAAAAGTATTTCAGCTGTTTGGCTCACGTTCCTGTAAATCATGTTGTGTGTTCACCTAGCCCTTTGCCCGGGATGTACCATGTTCATATCCAAAATTAAGAAGTGAAATTAAAAATGAAGAAGTATCATTAAGAAGGGTTGGTGTGCAGGGAGCAGACCCGTGGAAATGTCATGTCAGAAAAGAGGAATGTTGTTTATCACATGGCCAAAATGACTGATTTGGATCTGGTCTCTTCCCTCAGGATGTGTCTGGCTGTTGGAGTCAGCAGGAAAGATTTTTCCACTGCAATATTTTGATGGAAGTATCTTTACCTTTTTAAACGAAATATGTCTCTTATTTCACTTCTGGCTTTATCAGGCTCAAGAACGTGAAAGTAACTTCAAACTTCGATTTTTTTTTTTGTTTGTTTTGATTTTTTTTGTTTTGTTTTTTTTAATCCAGTGCCTTTCTCCTGATGGCAGGAGGGGAGGTGTAGGATATACCTGGCTGTGTTTACTGAGCCTAAATGCAATAGGAGCTGGTATGAAGGGATGAATAAGCTGTTTGCAGATGGGCTTAGAAACTGTTATGTTAAATATATATATATTTATATATACACGGGGAGAAGGACAGACACGCAAAGGAGGATCATTAATGCCATGGCATTTTTTTTTTTCATATATGTAATACATGTGATCTCAGATGAGTAATAAGTTACATTTCAATCAGTGCTGGATGTTTCAGTTTGTTTAACTTCCAGCATTTTTGAAATGAATAAGTTTGATTTTTTTTATTTCCAGCACAGCTCTTTTTCTGCCCTTGAGTCTTTGAGTCGTTTTTTCTTTTTACTATTCCTTATCTGAACTTCTGCTGTGGGTGTTTCGCTGTTTATAATGAATCCTGAAGTGTGCAGCCCCAGGCTCCTGTGCCCTCACAGCATGCCACGCCTGTGTTTACTGGGAGAAGGAGTAACATCCGTGCTCTCCTCTGTTTCTGTTCCAGATCATCGGAGCCCTCATCCTCGCCGTGGGGATTTATGCAGAAATCGAAAGACAGAAGTACAAGACTCTAGAAAGTGCCTTTCTAGCCCCAGCAATTATCTTAATACTTCTGGGCATTATAATGTTCCTGGTATCCTTTGTGGGTGTGCTGGCTTCCTTAAGGGACAACTTGTGCCTTCTGCAAGCAGTAAGTGCTGTGATTTTTATCCCTGATATCCAGTGCTTGTTGCTTCCGCTCTTCGGTGCCCTCTGAATTCACACCCCGTAATTATGTCTGCGTTGAAAAATATTTTAATGAAGCTGCTTTATTTTAATTAAATCTGAATTTAATGGCAGTGATTCCTCCATCAGGGAGCGGCAGGCAGTGACCGGCGAGGGCGTGAGCCTGGTGCTGAGAAAACCAGCTTCCCAGGAGTTAAGGTTTATGTGGAAAATAACCAGGAATCTTGTCTGTTGTCAGTCGGTGTGTACGGTGTGCAGGCTCAGCTGTTGACATACCATTTGACACTGGCCTCTCATATGAACCTGGAGGAAGCAGCTCAGGAAGGAAATCCTGGCTCGGGCCGATGTCTGGTGGTGGCTGGAGTCTGCCTGTCCTCCCCGGGAAGCGGAATGTAGGGGTAGATGTGGAAATGTGTGGTACAGGGTTAGCTGAGTAGCTTGGGGCTTTGAGAGAAGGGCCCTGAGGGTGAAATGAAAGGGCCAAGGTTTTTCTCTCCAGTGCCTGGGAAAGAGTAAATTTTAGGGGAATTCCTGCTTAATGCCGTGGCTGCGGATGGAAGTTGCACATGCGACTAACTAAAAATAAAGTGGGAAAACATCTTTTTCACCTCCACAGAATCAGAGAGAGTTTGGTTTGGAAGGGACCTTTTAAAGACCATCTAGTCCAGCTGCCTTGGGATGAGTAGGGACACCTTGCACTAGACGAGGTTGTTCAAAACCCAGTCCGGCCTGGCCTTGTCGTGCCAGTTCAGTCCAGTGAAACGCTCAATACGTGGCGTGTTGTGGGTGACCACAACATACAAAGCCAGAAGTAATGGTGGTTTCGGAAGTTATGCTGGAATTTTACTGAGATCCCATCCTTGGGCTTCTCTCACACTGAGTGTGGTGGTGTGTTCTGAAGCTGAGAACATTTTCCGTTCCTGTTCCGGTAGCAAACCCAGTTGGGTATTTAACAAAGCAGGTCCCTGACTCCTGCCTCTTAGGCTGATTCCAGATTTAGCAGGAGAAAAGATACCTGTCTGGTGAATTCATGACACTGATAGTGGGTACAGAGCACACAGAAGTTAAACCTGCTTTGAGACGAGAGCATTAGGGGTTATTTTCAGACGAGGGATCATAAAACTCCGCTCCCGCTGAAGTTCATTGTTCCACAGCAGACCCAAATTCACATAACAGCCATCTTTTACTCCTGAAGGGTCAGAAGAACATTTCAGGTGCTGGTATTTTGCATCCATCTCATGGTGCTGTGGATTTATTCATGTTATTCATATTTTGCACATGAGGAGCCACAGGTGCACATGTGGTGTGAGTGCATCTGTGAGCATGTGTAGATACACACACAGATAAATGTGTACAGCCACATAGTAAAAGGTACCAAGCCTGGAACTTTGCTTTGATTTAGTGCTGGCAATTTAGTAGAAGGTGGTTTGGATTGTCTTAAGGTTGCTGCTTCACCCACTAATTGACAGCAACAAGTAAGCACTGGTTTTCAAGGAGACATAAAACCATGAAGTTTGGTGAGGTTTAAAACAGTCCATCAGTGTGCTTCTCTGGGGTGCTGCTGTGGAAAGAAGGATCTTGGCACGATAAATATACCTAATGGTTTTGAGACCATTCAAAGCAGACAAACAACGCGTTTGCCAATTGGGCAGAACCCAGAATAACTCAAGCGAGGAAAAATGGCTTTCTCGTGACATGCGGAGTTTTTTATAAGAACAGACCCACAATTTCGTATCTTCTTTTAAAATGCCATCGCGTTTGCTGGAAGCCAGATCTCTTGGCAACTGAACTCTGTTAGACTCAAGGGCGCTAATTGGAAGAATAATTGGGGTTTTTTCTGTCTAATGACTCACTTGCACTTGTTTTTCTGCAGTTCATGTACATCCTTGGTATCTGCTTGCTGATCGAGCTGACCGGTGGAGTGGTGGCCCTGATCTTCAGAAACCAGGTGAGCTCCTTGTGTTTGGATCACAGAGAACATGACTTAAGATCCATGGAGTTCCAGGTGCGCAAAATAAAAGGTGTCAAAGTTGTCACTGAGCAGCAGTCGATGGAGGTCCAAAGACAGGTCCAGGCTTTTCAGGGCCTCCAGAGTTCAGCGAGGGTGGGATTTGCCACCTGCTCTGGAGATGAATTCCAGATCAAAGAATTTGGAGGAAATCTGGTAACTTACAAGTGTGCAATACAGGCAAAACAAGTTTTCCAGCTCTTTCTGTATTGCAAAGTGCTTTCTTCTGTTTGGCCATCTGGGTCTGACTGCTGATTCGGGAAGTTTCCAGATGGGTTTGGGGACTTGGTTATTTTTTAGCGGCCAAAATGTTTTACCTTACCTGAAGGGCAGCTTTTCCCTGCCCACGTGCATAAGCAACATGATTAATTTATGTAAGAGCACGCTATTGCTGTATTAAAACCTTGATTTTTCGAGACAGAAAGCAGCATGCTATTCTTTTCAGTTAGAAGTGCTTTAAAACATAAATGTGCTCGCTTTGGCAAGTACTAGGTTGCTGTGCTTTGACTTATTTTTCAAGTCTGGCAAAATATGAGCATTAAAAGGAGATGCTGAATAATAAGACGTTCCTTCCCCACCCCAAAATCCTACCAAGCTCATTTTCCACAAAAGCCATACATACATGTGATGTTAAAAAAACCCACAAAACAACAACAACTTAAAAAAAGGATTTTTAGCTTTGGGCATTTTAGCAGCTGGATTGAAAGGGAAGTCGTTACATTCTGGTTATGATTAGGCCCTGTTTTTGCTGTGCTGTGATTGTGCTGGATCTTGAAAACTTTGTTGCTTTAATTTCTAAGTTGCCGTGCCGAGGAGAGTCCATCCTATATCTGCCAATATTTCTCAAAAAACCCACTCTAAAACATGCAGATACACTTTTTCTTTTTCCTGCTTCAGGTGAAACAAAGCTCCTTATGTGGTGGTTATGGACTCCTTGGAAAATCAAATGAATGGGAAATTCACGGAAAATAAAAATTCATGGAAGGTGGTGGTGACACGGCCAACTCTTGTCGCTCGGGCTGTGGTGCAGACCCAAATTCTGTGTTCACCCAAGTGGTGGTGAGGATCCCAAGTGCCCAGAGGGAGGGATCCTGCCTGGGGATAGCTGGACCGTGCCTGGGAGATGCTTGGAGAGTATCAGAGAAGAGAAGTGGCGCCCTGCTGGCACTTCCCATCACAAACCCAGCAGCGTGGCTGCTTCCACAAGAGAGAACAGATGGTTGGGCCCAGCAGGGCTGAGCTAAGATTTGTTTTTAACTAAGGGTTTGGTTTTTCCTTAAAGAAAAAAGCCTTTTCTTTTGTGCCCAGCAGTTACACTTGTCACCTTAACCTGCTGTTCTGATTTTGTTCCTGTGTGTGCAACCCACGAATCCCGTTTCCCTTTCGTTTCCAGACAATCAAGTTTTTGAACGATAACATTAGAAGAGGAATTGAGAATTACTACGATGATTTAGACTTCAAGAACATCATGGATTCTGTTCAAAAGCAGGTTTGTTGTTGTTTTTTGTTTTTTTTTTTCCCCTGGGACTGACTCAGTGCCAACGTGCAGCAGGTCCTTGGCGACAGCTTCGAGTTTTTCCAGTGATGTGATAATCAAGTTCTCAGTGATGAGGGGGATGGGATCTTGTGTGCCTCTGTTCTGGTTGTCGCCGAGATCAGGGCTCACCCAGCATTCCAGCTGGCATTTAAAACCCTCTACGTCACTGATAAAAAACAGGGGGCCAAAATGCAGCTTTGGCCTTGGCAGGTGCGGCTCAGATGCTCGGGGTCAGATCCTACAAACACGTTGGGCTTGTGGAGAACCCCACAGCTGGACTCCGAGAAACTCAGCCTAAATTCCACCCAGGGCCTTGCAACTCAGCGTTTCTGCTGGTCCAGGAGATTCAGAAGCGTCTTGTTAACGGGAGGCACTCTGTGGATAAAGAGAAATGAGGTGGCATTTAGGCTGTTAGAACACAGCACGTCGTGTTGTCGTCGCTCGAGGGCACCCAGAGAGCTCTCTGACAAGGTGGTTGGTGGAAGGAAATGCCCGTGGAAGGGTATATATACACCTGTTATTAAACTTCAGAAGTGCTGCTGAGCCCAGCTGAGCATTACTTAATGGCACGTGGAGTTGACTCACAGCAGTTTTTATTCCTTTAATGAGGCTGGTCTGTCGAAATGTTTATTGGGTTATTGAAGAGTTCTGCCATGCAGTTCAGAGACTATAGGAGAAGCAGAAAACGTTTAGAAATGTGATGTCAGGGCCCATGTGATGTCCATGACTTTGCCAAATAGTGATTAAAAAAAAAAAAAAATTAACTTAGGAAGTGTTACGTGTGTTTTAGGACATCGTTATGGAGATGGCAGCCTGCTTTGAAAAACAAAGTTAGCATGGAAAGTCTGTCAAAAGCAAACCATCCTGAGGAAATTCTGTCATTAGAACTTCATAATGCTTTAAAGTTTCCATGCACTGCCCAAAATTATGGATACATACAGCCAATATGCATCTTACTGATTAAATGAACTGCTGCTTTTCCCGTTGTTTAAATTAGAAAGTGAATATTTGTATGATAATCAGCGTAAACTTACAGTATTTGTTTGGCAGATTTCAGCTCTTCTAAATCACACCCCCAGTGTTTTGGTGAGATTGATTTATGCCTCACAGCAGTGCTTTTGTCTTTTACACCCAGTTGGAAATGCAGTCATAATCCTTCAGACAACTGCAGGAATTTATTACAGGTCGAGATAGAATGAATTTAAAAATGTTGCTTAGTGATGTCCAGACCTGGAAAGATAATTTTTCAACTTGGAAAAGATGGGAAGTGGAGCTCTGGCACCCTGGGTTACAGTTGGATGAGTGATGGAGGAGAGCCACCTATATCCTTAGTTCTTTTTAATTCTGTCTATCATATACATTCATACATGCCTTGCTGATAAAATGACAGAATTTTTTGGTTGGCTCAGGGCTTTTTAAATTGTTTTATTCTAACTTTGTTTCCTACTTATTCAAAGACTTCAAGACAGGATTTTTTCACCCCCCCCTCCCCTTTAACATTTTAGAATCGCAGAACCATTTAGGTTGGGAAAGACCTTGAAGATCACTCAGTTTTGTGCTGTTGTTTTTTTTTTTTCCCCAGTTCAAGTGCTGTGGTGGGGAAGATTACAAGGATTGGTCCCAAAATGTGTACCACAACTGTGGGGCGCCGGGACCTCTGGCCTGTGGGGTGCCCTACACTTGCTGCATCAGAAATAAGGTAAGTCCTGGCCCCTCAGCATCATGGGGTTCACTTAGAAAGGTTCCTTTAGGAATTCTGAGGTGAGAAGTGAAAGAAAAAGGAGGTACTTCCCTCCCCTAATGGATCTGTGGGTCTTGGCAGCTTGAAAAGGAGAAAATAAAATGGGTTAGGTGTGTTGGCTCTGCCCCATCGTACTGACCCACTGCGCAGCCCCAGAGGGGATCTTGGGAGCTCCTCTGAACTCATGGCTGGCCTGAGTGAGAGCTGCCTGAAGTTAAGTTTTGCTGGTGTTTTCCCCAGGGTTTGCTGCTCCAGCTTTGCCAGGGAGCCTGGGCCCCTGATTGTTTCCGTGGGTGGGGGCTGGAGTGATGTGCACCAGCTGCTGTGTGAGTTAAAACCCAGAGTGACCTCGTCATCCAGATTATTCCAGAAATGTGGGCAACTGACCTCAGGATCAGGGCATGCTTGTGGGCACAGGTCTAGACTGGAGCTGCTGCTCTGCCCTAACCCATCCTTGAAAACCACCTGCCTTCCCACTCTCTAAGATCCTGGAAGGACTGGGGTGGTCTGGACCAGTTTCTCCATCTATGATGAACTGGTATTAACTGGTGCTGACAGCAGCAGGAGCAGGCATTGAGTTTCATAAAAATATCTTTCAATTTTATAATTCGTTGCCCTTCATTTGAGGGATATATGCAGTGTTGAATTTGATGAAGAATTGTTCCTCAGTTTAAAACCAGTCCAGCCAATAATCTCTGCCTTGCTGGGTTTTTGTCTCTGTTCAGAACAAAGAGCAAAGATAAATTGAGGCAGAGAAAATTGAGTGTGTGTAAGAGAAGACAGCAGAGCTGCTGGTGCCTGCTCTGGGCTGCCCTCTCAACATCTGCCTTGAGCACGGCTGTTTAATTACAAACAGCGAAAATAAACGCCATGGCTGTGTCAGTAGGTGCTGCTGAGAAATGTGTCTCGTGTGAAGGTGTTTATTACATGTGCTTACACATTATTGGTGCGTGAGAAAGGGTCTGTTTAAATCTGCGGCGAGCTTTGATTTATTCTCAGGAACCAAAGCTAAACAGTTATGCTTTGAGTCTCGGGTGCTTGAGAGTGAGATGTTTGTGTATATGAACAGAGTGTCTGCTGATCTGCAGCTGCATGGAGCAGAAGAACCCAGGATTTCGCCCTCAGGAAAGGGAAAGCACTAAAATAAAAAACTTCTCCGAGGGAAAATGGGGAGTACACTCTCCCTGTGCTTCACTGACAGCTGGACATGGGAGGGGCGAGGCTGCTTGTAGAGTGTTAAGCTCAGGGAGGCGAATTGAAAGGCAAGGAGAAGCCACCCAAATCACAAAACAAGCTTCCTATTTAGGCACAGGCTGTTGATCAAGGATGCTGCAGTGCGCTGGGGCTCGTGGCTTTGCCACACCCGTGGCGTTGCTGGGCCTCGTGGAGTCCGAGCGGCGCAGGCGCTGCCCGGCAGGGTGACACCAACACCGGGCTGCAAGGATGGCTGCCTCGGGGGAAAAAGCCAACCAGAGGATGCATAAATCTCGTGTGTTTGACAAATGCTTCCAAATACAGGCTGGTTTCTTTTCCTGGAAAGCCGCAGATAGGGTTTGTGATTACTCACTGGCTTTGCAGTCATGGAAAACTCCTGCTAATGCTGGAGGTTGGATTCTGGTCCTCTAAAAAAGCCTTCTGCTAACACGAGCCAGGCTCACGCTGGGGGGGGCTCTGAAGGAACTGTGTTTAAGTCAGAGTATTTATTAAGGACTTACACTAGCGTAGCAGGTAAAAATTAGTCCCAAATGCCTATAATCCTCTGTTTCTAATGCATTTATCCCTGCTGCATCTATTTGCTTGTGCCACGATGTGCTGTTTGCAAATGCGGTTTCGAATGAAATGATGTGACTGCCTTCCTTGTGGTCATGTACAGTTGTTGTGTGTTCAAGGTGGGAGCCCAGATTTTGGGGGCTTGAGAACTTAGACCCTGCCTGCCGTTCCTGCTGTTTCAATAGCGTCCATCTGCCGGCAAACACCCCTTTTCCTTCTTGGGAAGGTGAGCTGGGAATCCCAGGCCACCACTCAGAGACCAGCAGCGTTTAGAAATCGTCATTCCTACATCTTGTTTTAATTTTGAGGGAGGGGGTATTCAGTTGCCCAGAGGAGCTGTAGCTGCCCCTGGATCCCTGGAAGTGTCCAGGGCCAGGTTGGACGGGGCTTGGAGATAACCTGGGCTAGTGGAAGGTGTCCCTGCCCACGGCAGGGGGTGGGACTGGATGGTCCAACCCAAACCATTCTGTGATTCCGTATCAGTAACACAGTTTGTTCTGCCTTATTTTTCTCATTTCTGTATTCTCATTTTCTTCCATGTCTTTGGCTTTGTTTGCTACTTTCTTTGATGCTGGTGGACTTTATGTTGGATAACTTGGAAGTGAGGGGGGTATTTTCAGGATAGCTTTGCCAGGCCAGGTAAAACTTTGGAACCCACAGAAAATATTACGTGGCTAAAAAAAATGTGTTAGTAATTCGTGGTGAATGCAAGCACTCAGTGCTTTTTGAAATATATGGATTTTCAATTCATATAAGTAGTGGTATGTAAAATTACATTGTAATAAATTTAGAATTGTGAAATGTTCACGCAAGCATTCGTAGTATTGGACATTATTTGAAGCTTAGGTATTTCTGAGCCTAAATTTGGGATTGTGATGTCATGAAGGCCATTTCGTGTTAACCACTGGTTTTCTTAGTAAGATGTGTTAAGTTATTAAGGCTTTAAAGTGAAACCCAAGCTGTTTGTTCTGTGGAAACTGCTGTGTTGTGGCTCACTTTGGTTGCTGATGCCAGACTGGTTTTGTTGGATAGATAGGGCTCAAATGTGTTGTGACACACTGACAATGCTCATTTCTCTGAAATCCTGTAGAGCTCTGACTCAATCTGACCCTGGGCCTGCTGGAAGAAACTGGTGTCGGACTGGGAAATAACCCTGTTGCTGGTTTTGCATGGGCTGGGCAGACACAGAAAGAGTAAAAGTGATGTTTTTTGTGATTTTTATTTTCTGCTGCAGTTTGTATCTGTTGTTTTCTTTCCAGACAGACATTATCAACACCATGTGTGGATACAAAACCATCGACAAAGAGGTAATGTAACCAGTGTCCGCCCTGCCGTGGCAGGGGGTGCTGCTTCTCTGCATTGTTTTTGGTTCGTTTTAAAGTTGCCTTCTGCCATGCTTCAATCTGCCAGACAGTTAAATCAGCAATTAAAATGATTTTTTTTTTTTCCTGGTATAACTTCTATATATTAAAAAGGCTAGTCTTGTTTGATTGTGGTATCTTCCCTTCTTAGTGTTTTCCACAATTCCTTGTTTGATGTCAACTTCCTCAAGCTAATTGCACAATTAATGCACAAGAAGCTGCTGTCATACTTTTAAGCAGCGACTCGAGTTGGGGAAAGCTTTTAATAGTTAAAAAGCCAGAGTTTCTCACTGAGTAAAACTGGTGTTAGTAAAGCCAACTTAGCTGTTTCTAAGCGTTTTATATCCCAGTGGGGTTTTTATTTTTAGGCCTGTAATAGTTATTCCTGGAAGAAGAGGAGCGGGACTTCCCAGGTTGTGTTGGCAGCCCTCTCCTCCCTCCAGGAGCGGGACGGGGCCTCCTCCTCCGGCTTTCCCTTTTGGGAATAGCCCTGGTGACTCCAGAGCAGAGACTGCCAGCTCGAGGCAGTAATTGCAGAGTGATTAAGAAGGGAAATCAGTAATTGGATCCGCCCTGAGTTCTCCCCCCCTGGCTCTGGAGTGCTGGTGTGGGGGCTGCTCTGGGAAAGCCCCTGTCCCCAGCCCATTTGAGGCACTTGGAGCACAATGCAAGCCTCGGTTGTTGGGTTTTGGGATTACTGGTTATCTTTACACACTACTCATCTTCATTTGGGTTAATTGATTTACGGCTTAATCACCTGAACGCTCCAGCCTGGCTCCAATGCCCCGAGCACTCAAGCATATGCTTAACTTCACCCCATTCATCTGCTTAGGACCCTTTGCAGCCTCAAGTGCTTTCTATATTATGGGTTGGGGTCACGGAGCAGCACAGCTTGCAGGACTGAATCTCAAACCCTCTTGTTCCTGCCCTTTTTTAGACTCTATTGCAAAGCACTTGGTCCACGATTTATATTTTTTCCACTGCTGTACTTTCAACTTAGGAGCAGAGATGAAAGCTAAAGGGAGACTTCTCTGCTTTCCAAGTGGTCTCAAATCAGAATTGGGTGTTATTTCTTGTAGAAAAGTGGCTGCAAAAACAGGTTTAAAGCAATGAAATAACTTACTTAGGTGTGGAACAACTTAAAAAAAGAGAAAGGTTTAAAAAGATAACTTGTGCAGGTGTGGAACAACTTAAGAACAGATGGAAGGATTAGCGATGAGGTCTCTGTTGAATGCAGTGGATTTAAAGAGGTGGGAAGGCAAACCAGATGTGGCCTCCCTGAATTCCGAGCGACCACCACGTGTGTCACACAGCAGCGGAACTGCCTGTTGAACTCTCACTCTGCTGTTTTCGCAGCGCTTGAGCGTTCAGAACGTCATCTACGTCCGAGGGTGCACGAATGCGGTGCTGATCTGGTTTTTGGACAACTACACCATCATGGCTGGAGTGCTGCTCGGCATATTGCTGCCCCAGGTAGGGAGGGGGCCCCGCCTTATCCCACTGAAGGGAGCGTCTGATTTGTTGCTACACTGCATGAAATCCCGTTTGATGTAACGCAACCACCGATGAGTTGAGGAGGCGTTCTGGTAATTTAGTAGCATTGCTGCCATACCTTGCAGGATTCGGTGGGGTAATCTGCTTTCGCTTGGGTTTTTTTTTTTGAGTCCTCCCCTCCCCTCCCCTCCCCAGGCTGCGTCCACTGAGGTTTTCTAACGCTCCAAAGGACAGGGGTGGGTGGTAATTCTTCTGATGAGTTAGTGCTTCACAAAAAACGATCCATTTATACCCCTATATGCAAAGTGAATTTATATCTATAAATATATATATTTACACACACCACTGCCCATATACCCGACGTGCACATAAGCAGTTGGTAAAGCCTTTGCTGCATGCAAGAGAAGCACGAGGCACGCTGAGCCCGTGATCTCTGAGCAGAGAGACGCCCCTTCCTTTGGCAGTTCCTGGGCGTGCTGCTGTCCCTGCTGTACGTCACCCGCGTGGAGGACATCATCGCGGAGCACAAGCTGGGCGAGCGGCTCTTCGGGGACGC